TCCCAGACACAGAAGACCTGAAATCAGCTCTCTTGATGCTAGTGAGGGGACTTCTGGTGTGCCTCTGCAAGGGCCAGAGAGTGAGTATTCTGACCAGGATCAGGACTAGAGGGTCCCTGTCTTCGGCCAGGAGTAGGAAAGGGATGGCCAGATATACCGGACTGTGTGGATTTGATGGCCTGGCATATCAGACCCACAGAAGTATAAGGCTTTGGTAGACACTGGTGCACAGTGTACGCTGATACCATCAGGGTATAGGAGAGCAGAACCCATCTGGATCTCTGGAGTGACAGGGGCGTGCCAATAAATGTCTTTGTTGTAGGCTGAGGTGAGCTTGACAGGGGACAAGTGGGATAAGCACCCCATCGTGACCGGCCCAGAGGCCCCTTGTATTCTTGGTATACATGACCTCAGGAGAGGGTGTTTCAGGGCCCCAAAGGGGTACTGATGGGCTTTTTTGAGGTGGAGTCAAAGGCAGCCAAGTGGTGTTCTACAACTGACATTGCCAATGAGGTTATTTTCAATTCCTTTGGCAGCAAAGTGCAGGTCACAGTTTTCTTTCATGTGGAGGGATGTGCAATACCCCTGGAATCAACTGCCCTAGGGGTGAAAACACAGCCCTACCATTTGTCATGGACTAGTGTAAAATGAACTGGAAAAGGGTGATGTCCATGTACATCTAGAGTGCATTGATGACTTCATTGTGTGGGGCAATACAGCAGATGAAGTTTTTGAGAAAGGGGAGAAAATAACCCAAATCCTTCTGAAAGCTGGTTTTGCCATAAAATGAAGTGAAACCGAGGGAGATGCACAGGACATCCAGCTTTTAGGAATAAAATGGCAAGATGGGCATCGTCAGATCCCAATGGATGTGCTCAACAGAAGAGCAGCTATGTCTCCACTGACTATCAAGAAGGAAACATAAGTCTTCTTAGGTGTTGTGGATTTTTGGAGGATGCCTATCCCAAATCAGTCACAGACAGAATGTAAGCCCTTTCTAAGAAGTGACCCGGAAGAAGAACAATTTTGAATGGGGCCCTGAGCAACAGCAAGCCTTAGAACAATGTAAGCAAGTGCTAGTTCATGCAGTAGCCCTTGGACCCGTCCAAACAGGACAAGATGTTAAAAACGTGCTCGACACTGCAGCTGTTGAGAATGGCCCTGATGAAGAATGCTGATCACAGAATCACGGAATCACAGAATGGTAGGGGTTGGAAGGGACCTCTGTGGGTCATCTAGTCCAACCCTCCTG